ACAGAAAAATCAGATTAAAAGGTTTTATGTTACCATATCACAAAATAAAACAGGACAGATTCTCACCAGAATTAGAGGGCATTCTGTGTAGCACATAGAAAATTCACTTTGAAGGATCACAGAAAATCCAAGGTGGAGAGGTAGGAAACAGTGGCATCTTAGAAGGCAACCTTCTTCCAAAGATGCTGCAAGACTCCATTTGAAATGCAGCCATTTTCTCACAAAAGAAACTCGCATGGTTCAGAATGAACTGCACCAGGGATTTGTTAATTTCATGATGGCTATGTGTCCAGCAATTCAGGGGAAGTCAGCCAGTAGATATTAACATTCATCATTCACAAATTCGTTTAACAAATATTTATGATTGCCAATTACATGCCAGGAATTATGTCAGACACTGAATTTACCGTAATTAGTGAAACATACATAGCCCTTAATCTCAAAGAGCTTATAGTCTAGGATGGAAAGCCAACACTGAAAAATTAACCCAAGTATTACATGTAAACCATAGTAAGTGACAGAAAAGTAAGTTCGTTCTAAGAGTTGGTAGTTGGGGAACTGAATTTACATGGTAGGGGAAAGATCAGAGGAAGCCTCCTTGAGAAAGTTACATTTAAAGTGTGATGCAGGGGCGCCTGGGTGACTCAGCTGGTTAAGCGTCTGCCTTTGGCTCAGGTCATGATCCCAGAGTCCAGGGTTTGAGCCCCACATTGGGCTCCCTGCTCAGCGGGGAGTTTGATTCTCTCTCTCCCTCTGCCGCTCCCCCTGCTTGCGCTCTCTTCTCTCAACTAAATAAATAAAATCTTTAAAAACAATTTTTTAAAAAAAGAACCAAGTGTGATGCAAAGGCGAGAAAGGAGTGATTTCCCTAGCCAAGGACAAAGCAAGCAGCACTGATGGAGGAACTGAAAGAGGAAGAGTGGAGCAAAAAGAGTAAGAAGTGCTGTACCGAGTACACACTGTTTTGCAAACACATTAATTCCAATCTTTGCAGCACTGTGGGGTGAAAGTATTCGCATCCCATTTATATACAAGGAAAGTGTATTCTTAAGAATACAGAGTGCTGCTGGGCGCCTGGGTGGCTCAGTTGGTTGAGCGACTGCCTTCGGCTCAGGTCATGATCCTGGAGTCCCGGGATCGAGTCCCACATCGGGCTCCC